TTGATAGAAGATAATATGTCTAGTCCTTTAAAAGGACAGAGAGTATTCATTATTTTAAACCTGAGCAATTCTCTGTAATTTTTCCTAACTTTTAAAAATTTTTTAAATTAAAAATTTTTTTTTGGAGACAGGCTCTCACTTTGTCACTCAGACTGGAGCGTAGTGGCATGATCGTGGCTCACTGCAGCCTCAAACTCTAGGGCTCAAGCAATCTTCCTGCCTCCGTCTCCAGAGTAGCTAGGACTACAGGCAAGTGCCACCACATCCAGTCACATCCAGCTAAGTTTTTAGTTTTCTTGTAGAAATGAGATGGGTCTCCAATATATTTCCCAGGTTGGCCTTGAACTACTGGGCTCAAGTAGTTCTCCTGCCTCAGCCTTCCAAAGCACTGGGATTACAGATGTGAGCCACCATGCCCAGCCAACTTTTAAATTTTTAAGTAATGACAAATCCACAGGAAGTTGTAATATGTACCCAGTTCTCACTAGTATCAGCATCTTACATGGCTACAGTACAATATCAATACCAATAAATTGATTACGTACAATTTGTAGAACGTATTCAAATTTCATCAGTTATACATGAATTCATTGTGTAGTGTATAAATGTATACTCTGAAATTTTGTCTCGTGTGGCCAACCAGTCAACTAACCAAGGGAAGGCTAGTTAACTGGCGAGTTACTATGGTGGGCAACTAGAGTTTGATCTTGCTGAGGAAGTCTGGAAGACTATGCTAAACAGTGCAAAAGTCATTGCAGTTTTGCCATTAAAAGTGATGGCAGTTACTTTTGCACCAACCTACTATAAGCACCACCAACATAAAGATACCCAACTGCAACATCACCACAGGACTCCCTCGTGTATTCTTTACGGATACATTCCTACAACCCCCAACCCCTGCCAATCACTCATCTGTTATGCATTTCTATAATTATGATGTTTCATGAATGTGTGTGTGTGTGTGTGTGTGTGTGTGTGTGTGTGTGTGTGTGTATGGAATCTTATAGTATGTATCCTTTTGAGATTGGTGTTTTCTCACTCAGTATAATTTCCCTGAGGTTCACCCAAGTTCTTGTGTGTATCACTTGTTGGTTTTTATTGTTGAGTGGTATTCCATGATATGGATATATTAATTAATACTATTTGTTTAACCATTTACCCTTTGAAGGACATTTAGGTAGTTTCCACATTGGAGCTATTATTAAGAAAACGGCTATAAATATCTGTGTACAAGTTTCTGTGGGAAAATAAGTTTCCATTTCTCTGGATAAATGCCTCAGAGTGCAAGTGCTGGTTGTATGGTAAGTCCATTTTTGGTTTTAAAAAATTACTGCCAAAGTATTTTCCTGAGTGGCCATGCCTTTAATTCCTATGAGTAGTGTATGAATGAGTGTTATTATCACTATTTTTCATTTTAGTCATTCTCCTAGGTGTGCAGTGAATAGCTCATTGTAGTTTTAACGTGCATTTCTCAAAAGCTAATGATGTTGGACATCTCCAAACAGTAAGAGAACCCAACATATCTTGTGTGGCAGACAGTATTCTCCAAAAATGCCAACAATAATTTTGCCCATCTCATGAGCTTTTCTTACGATATGACTTAATTTTTCTCACACTGAGGAAGACTCTATACTCCTGCTCCCTGAATCTGTAAGGGCTTGTGACCATAGTGAAAGTAATGCTATGTGATTCTGAGGCTAGGCAATAAAAATGCATGCACTTCCTCCTCGTTTTCTTGGGAAACACTCTTGGGAACCAGCTTCCATGCCATGAGGAAACTCAAGCCACATGGGGAGGCCATGTTGTAGGTGTTCTGGTGACAGTTCCAGCCAGCCTGCCTGAATTGACTACCTGACATGTGAGTGAGGATGACTAACAGATGACTCTGGCTCCAGGCATTATCTAACCACAAGTCAAAGCAGCGCTGCTTTGTTGAGCTTAGTCAACCCTGGGATCCATGAGAGACAATGCTATAAGGACTGTTGACAAATGTTCAGATGTTTCATTATAAATAACAGCAATAGATAATTGAAAATGTCTTCTCCACTATATAATGTTGTACACTAATAGACTAGTATAAAAATGTACTCTTAGCCTTTTTTTGGAGTAGCCACACTCCATTTCTGCTCTCTGTTAAAAGTTTCCTTTCCCAATAGACACTGGAGAAGCCGCTGGAGTTACACGGTTCTTAACATGAATGAGTAAACTCTGGACAACATGGCCAAGAGGCACAAGATCCACTCAACATGCTGTTGCTTCCTCTGCCTGGAATGCTCCTGTCTCTGGCAGCCACAGGGTCCAGTCCCCCATGTCTCTGTTGTAATGCCACCACACGAGAGGAGTCTTTTGACCAGCCTCCATATCAGAGCCCTACCCCTTCCATCACTCCCTGTTCTTCTTACTATGCCTAAATTAATCCTAGGAAACTTAGTACTTATCACCCCTTGTTTGGTGGGGATTTTGTTTATTTATCTATTGTTTATCATCACATTTCCAGCCCCCAAATAAGCTCACTAAAGGAAGTGATTTTGCTTTGTTCATCCCTTGGATTTAGAACTGTCTGTGACACGTGGTAGACATTCTGTAAATATTCAGTGAATGAATGAGGGAACAAACCAATAAGGACTAAAACATCTACAATATGTCTATTTCTGTGCACTCTTTGCTGGGTACACAGGGGTGCAGGAGGTGTTAAAGAGAAAGGTTCTGCTCTTGAGAATGACAATCAAATGATTTAAGAATCTTGCACATTGAAGGGAGAGGAGATCTTTAAGTAAGCTGATTAAACAATGACTTCTTATCTTAGTCTTATTTCTGATTTTGATACTGGATATGTTCTTACAGCAAGGAAACCTGTACCATAAATTTCTAGAAACAGAGAAAGTCTGGCTTGAAACTGTCCTTGTAGACCAGTTTAATGCTTGGCAAATCACATTCTGAGACCACGGAGCCTTGTGTAGGTGCTTTCCTGAGTCAGGCCAGGGGGGATTCTTGACCTTTTCTCATAGCTGCCCCACTCAGTATGGGAGATTGAGCAAAAATGCATACACAGTCTTCTTCTCCCTGTATCTGCACCCCTTTGTAATGTGACTTTGCATCTTCCCCTATCAAGAGGTAGCGTCCATTTCCCCACCCCTTGAGTCTGGGCTTGGATATTTAGCAAATACAATATAAGCAGATTTGAAAGGGCCTACACATCGGGACTTGCCTCTTTTGCTCTGGGGAACTTTGCCACAGATATTGTGTGAATAAGTCTGGGCTACTCTGGGATGTGAGTAATACTTGGACCTGTCACCTGCACTGTCCCTGCTGAGAGCCAGCTGACTGCCTAGCAAATGAGTAAGGCCATAACCATAAGCTGATCGCAACTGGAAGAGAGAGCTCAGCTGATACCACATGATGTAAAGATGAGTTGGTGCAGAGATGAGTTATCCAAGTGGAGTCAGACCAAATGCTGGCTCACAGATTTGTGAGAAAATAAATGGTGGTTGTTTTATGCCACTAACTGTTAAGTGGATGTAGCAAAACCTGACTGATACATGCTACTTTACCCTTCTTTCTTAAGAGAAGCCACAGAATGGTTAGAGCAATGCCAAAAATACTTAAAGCTCCCCATTAAACACAATCCCAAGTTTGCAGATTGTGTATGCATGTACATAGAAATATGGAATAAATAAGTAATCGGGTTAGGGGTGATCTTTGTTTTATCCTCTATACTTTTCTGAGTTTACTAATTTTTCTACAATAAGATTTACAATCTTTTTAAAACAAGGAAAAAAAAAAGCCAAAGTGCTTGGACGGTTTCTTCTGGCTGCCCTCTGATCATTCCTGAGCAATTTCTGATATGACATGAATATTTGCCACATGGCAGGGGTTGCTGGGTGTAAAAGACAGGAGTATCAAAGAAAAGGTTGGCTCCATTCACGCCAGGGCCATTGCCTCTGGTGGGAGTTTCAGGAGGCTCAAGAGGTCCTAATAGTGAAGAGCTATGCTCTGAAACTCTTCCATTTAACTAAGGCTTCCTTGGAATGTCAACTGATTATTTCCTTGGCTGTTATATTCCATGCCCTGTGCCCTGGTGTGGCTGAAAAGTTTCAGCAGAATCCCTTGAGCAGGTTGTAGTGATGCAAAATGCCAAAATTTGGGCCTGGAAGTATGCCCGTGTAATACATATCTTCTGTTCGTCCTTCTGGATCCATTTCCTCCCTCCTGCAGGCCTTAGGGAAAAAACCTATATTGACTGCATTTTGGCTCCTAGCTGGTTTTAGCCAATGGGGAGCACCAGTAGCAAACTAGAAGGAAGGAGAAGAATGAGGTTGGAGGATTTATTCTCTCAGCTATCATCCTGCAGGTTCATCTTGATTTGGCTTCTTCCAAAGATCAGAGCTCCTGCCACGCAGCCCTAAAATCTACAGCAATCTCCATTTCCAGATTCTAGTAGCCAGGACCTTGCCTCACCACTTCAGGCACAGGGTAGTAGGAGGGATGTTCCATTCTAAAGTACTGCACTAATTCTCATACACTATTTCTTATGATTTTTCTACATCTGCCTACACTCTTATACACTGTCTGTTTATTACATCATCCTCAAATTACCCAAGTGGAGTTGATCATCTGTTACCTGCAGGGGCTCTGAAAGGTACTATAAACACACATATTCATATGAATGGGTTGGATGCACCCCTAGAAGAGTCAGCTCTTCTCCTCCAACTAAAACAGGGATGTGGCAGAAAAGGAAAAGGAATGTCCATAGTTTTAATTACTTCTTATACTCATTGTTAAAGAGGGAAATTATCCATTAAAGTCAGGGAATTCTGACTAACAAGATGACACAGAGGAAGAGATGGTAATTTCTTTTTTTTTAAAGCTTTCTGGGACAAGAAGTAGGTGACTTGTGACTAAGAAAAATTAGAGTTATGAAAAAGTGTTTCTAAGAGAATTATGCCCATGACAGATAGAGTGACAAGGAAAACTAAAGGAGCCAAACATGAAAATCTTACCCGGCCATCACTTGTCAGGAGGATGGAGTCACTTTTTATGTCCCTGTGAATCACTCCTTGGTTATGAAGGTAGGACAGAGCTCTCAGAACTGACAGACAGACAGTAGCTATCTGTTCTTCATTCATTCTGGAAAGAAAATACCATTTAAGGAACAAGACAGGTTTAAGAACATCTTTGAAATGCTCAAGAGATACAGCTCCTTTGTGCTTTAGCGAATTAGTGCACGTGCACCAGCACATCTGAAAAATCTGCAGACAAGGGAAGGAAGTCTTTGGGGTCTGATTCCCAGAAGAAAGGTTTGGCACTGAGAATGACAGGAACCAAATACAAGTCAAATGAAAGAGATCACTATTTGTCAGCTTTTTGGTCATTCATGCAAATTTGCTTCAAGGCAGTCTTTTTATTTTTATTTATTTATTTTTGGGGGGAGGAGTCTCACTCTGTTGCCTAGGCTGGAGTGCAGCAGCATGATTTCAGTTCACTGAAACTTCTGCCTCTCGGGTTCAAGCGATTCTCCTGCCTCAGCCTCCCAAGTAGCTGGGATTGTAGGCATCCACCACGACACTTGGCTAATTTTTGCATTTTTAGTAGAAATTGGGGTTTCTCCATGTTGGCCAGGCTGGAATTGAAGCATTCCTGACCTCAGGTGATCCACCCGCCTCAGCCTCCCATAGTGTTGGGATGATAGGTGTGAGCCACTGCACCTTGGCTCCATGAACTCTTAACGGATAATTCCATAGGCAGGGACAAGCCTCCAGGGTCATACAGGGACAGCACACTGAATAGGTGGACAAAAGTTTCAGCTGTGGCTGTTAACCGATCATAAGAAAAATCCTTTAACTTCCTTGGGTCTCATTTTCTTCATCTGAGAAATGGGGACAGCCTCGGTTCTCTTCAAGGCTGAGCTCAGATAAAGTAATCTTTACATCTCTAATTCCCCCTCTGGGACTTACTCAACTTCTCATTCACCCTCTCTCTTCTTCCCCCAAGGAGCTAGAGGTTTTTGTCACTTCAGGCCCCTTCTCTTAAAGGGAAATTGGATCTAGGAAGTTACTAATAACTAAGTGTGAATGGATAGTATTTTAATAAATGGACCATGGGAATGAGAAAGGAAGCAAAGCATTGGTTATAGGCTCCCATATCTCATGACTGCACCCCTGTGGAGAAAGTTTTTCCTTCTCCACAGTTTTAGAGGAGGAGGTGGAGGTCAGTACCTGCCCAAGATTGCACAGCTAAGAAATGCCCAGGTCATGATTCAAACCTCACCTCTTTTTGAGTCCAGAACCCATGCTTTCCCACATTCCCATTATCCCGTACTGCCCTCACCACTCAGAAGGATGGATTTTTCTAATTAGTAAAATAGTTCAGCCACTGAGGAATCTAGGTGAGAATTTTTTGGATGGCACGGCTTGTTCAGTTGCCCTCAAAATGACTCATTTAGGCAGCTAACTCATCTATGTGCAGAAATTCTTCCCTATCTCATATTAAATAATAAATTTAAAAGAGGTTTTAAAGCAAACTATCCTGCAAACAGAGGAGACTGCCAGGAGAAACAGAGGGTGTAAATGACCAGAGCCCAAATTTAAGGACTACTTTGTGAATCTCCAGTAACCCCAGGTAAATCTAAGTTCAGCAGAACAAGGAAATGAAAGGCTTTGAATTTGCATTTCAGTCCAGTTGGTGCCAAAAGTTCCTGATGGGATTTAAAAGTAAAGTATAAGGAGACAGCCAATTAGGAGAATATTAAAGGTATAAAGCTGACGCATATGAAGAAACACCCTTCCCCTCAAGGAGGATTTGGCTGGGTGCAGTGGCTCATGCCTGTAATCCTAGCAATTTTGGAGGCCGAGGTGGGCGGATTGTCTGAGCTCAGGAGTTCGAGACCAGCCTGGCCAACATGGTGAAACCCTGTCTCTACCAAAAATACAAAAAATTAGTTGGGTATGGTGGCCTGTGCCTGTAATCCCAGCTACTGAGGAGGCTGAAGCATGAGAATGTTTGAACCCCGGTGGTGGAGGTTGCAGTGAGCCGAGATCGCACCACTGCATTCCAGACTGGGCCACAGAGTGAGACTCTGTTTCAGAAAAAANGAGGCATCAGTCTCATACAAAGGCAGGTGAGAAGAAATGTTCTTGCCTTAAACAGAGGAAACCGACAACTTCTGTGTTCTGGGTTTTGTGGTGTGTTGGTCATTATGCTGAATGATTTTCACATGACCATTGTCACATGTGCCAAAACACATCCCTCAGAGGTTTAGAGTATTTGCAGCAGGGACAAGTTCACATATACCTTCAAATTAATTCAGGACTAAGAACCGCCATATTTAACAAAATTATTTTCTCTTGAATTCAGTGAAATTTGAGTTATCTGAAACAGGTATAAAGATTCTTTACAGGTCGACTATACCAAAAATTACTTGAATCTAACCCCTAGTCACTAACTGGAAGATCCCCTTTGACTGGAATGTGTGACAAATACTTCCTAATCCAATGCCTTTGAAATTAACATGACCAACTGGAGAATGGCTGGTGCATGTCTACTTCTACTTCTTTTCTAAAGAAAAAAAGCTTGGCATGGAATAAAAATGCTTCAGCTCTAGAACTAACCTCAAATTCAAATCCTGGCTGTATCAGTTATGAAATCTGTGGTCTTGAGGATACCTTTTTAAATTTTGAGATAGAGTCTTGCTCTGTTGCCCAAGCAGGAGTGTAATGGCACAATCATAGCTCACCACAGCCTTAAACTTTTGGACTCAGGTGATCCTCCCATCTTAGCCTCTTGAGTAGCGAGGACTACAGGTATATGCCACCACACCCAGATAATTTTTAAAATGTTTTGTAGAGACGGGGTCTTGCTAAGTTGCCCAGGCTGGTCTCGAACGCCTGCCCTCAAGTGATCCTCCTGCCTTGGTCTCCCAAAGTTTTTTGGGATTAAAGCCATGAGCCACCATGCCTGGTGAAGAATATTTTTCCTCCTTGAGTTGTAGCTTCATCCCTTGACAGACAGGTATATCAGCATCTGCCTCATAGAAATATATGATGGTTACATGATTAATACATAAAGAGCTTGATGGTGCTTGGCACTTTCCTTTCGCTTCGGGAACCCTCAGCTTCCTGGAAATTAGAAGGATCTGACTTAAGATGTTAGGTTAGTGTTAACACTTCAGCATATATAAGAAATACCTGGGCATCTGACTAGAGCATGGATTCTCATTTAGTTGGTCTGGGATAGTACCTGAGATTCTGCATTTCTAATAAGTTCCCAGGTCCTCAGACAGCAGGAGGGTTAGATGTGTTATCAACCAATCAGTAACTCATTCAATAAAGCAGTTACTCAATGTCTACTACGGAAAGCTCTCTGAACTATCAGTTTAAGATTTCGAATACCAAATATTCAGGTGTTCCTTGAAATGCAATTTCTTTTTGCCTCTGGAGTTACTGGGTCTTTAAAAGGGAAATTGGTTGACAACTCTGGATGGAGAAAATTAGAAAATGCAATGGGTTTTAGGGATACACTATCTTGAGTGGTTTCCATGGATATAAAATAAGAATGGAAAGGAATCTTGACAAAGGTAGAGCTGGAGACCTGAGTAGCCACGTGAAACTCTGGAAGGTAAGAAAAAAGCTTCTCCTCTGAACACATTTTTATTTTTTGCTTTATATGTGAAAAGCAAAAACTGTATATCACATTGGCCTTATTCTTATATCTTTCCAGTATATTTGTTTCTAACAATTAAGATGATCTTATGTGGTTTTTTGTTGGGCATGTCTTATTGCTACACCAACAAGAGTTTTCCAGCTGAATTGCTGGTGATAAATGTTCAGTGTCTTCACTCACAACTCTTTATTTTGAGATGGTCTACTCCAGACTGAGAACTGTAGAGCCACAAAAAATCTCAACTTAGTGGAGAAAAAGCAGCATGTTTTTCCCTCACAGAGTTTTCCCGTGCTTTCCTGTTACCTTGCTTTCCACATATTATATACCTGGATCCACTTTTGATTCAGGTGGCATTTCAATAACATCAGCTAACACTCGATACCTCTTCCTCATGACAACCCTTTCTTAACATTTTGGCATTTTATTTACGATGAAGACCAAGGCTAAAGTTTCCCAAATGTAACATGCTATTTCATATGTCTATTCTGTAGAACCTTGCTTCTCTAAGTATGGTTCATGAACCAGCAGCATTGGCATTGCCTGGGAGTTAGCTATAAATGTAGTCTTACATCCCTCTCTAGTGAGTCAGGATATGCATTTTGATAAGATCCACAATGATGTATATGGACACTGAAATTGAAGAGGCACTGTCCTAGCACATATTCTCTTCACTGCCTTCAATGTCCTTTTCCTCCCACTTGCCCTCTTAGTAAACTCCTATTCATCTCTCAAAATCCATCTCAGATGACACCTGATTTTAAATAGGAACCTTTCTTGACTCTAATAGAGACATTTAGATATTCTTCTATGCTACACATATATATCTTCCTAATTTTGCACTGATATTATCATGTATTTCTCATTAGTGATGTCCCTGAGGGGATATAGCTGAGCCATATTCATTTCTATCGTCTGCATCTCCAGCACTTGCAAAAGAGCCTGGCACATAAAAGGTCCTCAATAAATATTTAATAAAATGGCTGGAACTGGCACATCAGGGAGGCAAATAGCTGAAGCGATAGGCTGGTAATTAACCATTGTTACTTGCAAGAATATTTTAAAACAGAATTGAAGAATTTCTCTGTGCCATGTAGATTCATTATTCTGATACAAAACTTCGACTGATACTCTCCCTGCTCCCTCCTTCGCCCGGTATCCTTGGTGATCTTAGCATGCAGCAGCGGTAGGGTAACTTGGGAGAATGAAATTCAGCTTTAGAAATCTATGTAGGTGATGGGAAATTCTATTATTTGCTACCAAAGCTTCATTCCTAGCCGGTTACTTATTTTAAATCGATGGGTATTAATGCCCTTATGAGGGCAGGAGAACATTAACCAAATGAATGAACTATACATGCCTGATAGTGTAATGGGCCTTCTGGGGAATGTGGGGTAAAGGGTAGTCATATTCCCTGACTCCAAAGTGCCCACAACTTATGAAGAGTTCATAGTCACTGAGGCTTTATCCTGGAGAAGAATAAGAAACATCTGGAATAATCCTGGAGAATAATGATAAGAATTATCTGGATAATAAAGAAGCTTACCTGGTGTGAGTCACGATGTCTGTCAAGGCACCACCTTCTAGAAACTCCATGACCACCCAGAGCTCATCGCCAACAAGGTAGCTGTTGTACATGTCAACCACATTGTCATGGTGGTAATCCCGCATGATCACGACCTGGATGAATGGGAAAGATACTTTTGACTTGTGAAGATGAAGTTGCTTTTTGTTCTCTTGTGGACACAACTACAACTGTAAGTAAACTGATTGAGAGGTACTGATTGTGGGGAATTTTATTCAGAAATCTATGATGATAGACAAAAAGCATCAAGGGTAGCTAGTAGAAATAAATGGAATCAAGGTAGCAAATTTGAGAGAAAATGACAGGTCCCCCAGACATTGGAGAGACACAGAGAGAGTAAGGAAAACAGGCAGAACAAAAGCAAGATTTGCATTCAGAAGAGGGAGTCTGGTTGACTGCCTGCAGGGATATGATCAGATATCCCTAAGGGTCTCCTTTAGAATGCAGTGTTCACAGTCTTCTGCTGGCTATCCTAGCAAAGGGTCACCAACTCATAGTAAGTGAGGGAATGAGTCCCATAAGTGAATGAAGTAAGCTATTAAAACTGGAGCCATACAAGACCAACTTAAATTCTCCTTAGAAGAAGGTATGGGTTGAACCTGAGAGTTAGTTGGGCTGAATTCAAAGAATATATATTGAAGATAAATACGGCATAGGCATAAAAAAGGCTAAGGAGCCTGCTTGCTGGAGAGAGCTTCCAGAAATTGCTGCCCTATGGCTGTTTCCACTGGAGTTTTCAGAATTAGTGTTAATAATAAATTACAGAATTGTTTATCCACCTCATATTGCTCTGCGAGTTCTGGCATTGTGGTTTGAAAAATAAATTCCAGAAGTCAGGAATGGTGGACTGGGAAGATGCTGAAGCCCACTCACCTGGAACTCTGTGAGATTTGGAGCATGTGTGGGAAATAAGCACCCGTGTGAGCTGGAGATGTGTGGAGGCCACTGGGGGCTTCACATAAGCCTCCGTGATAAACAGAGTTCAGAATTGCAGCTGAGCGCATTCGCACAGTGCCTGTTTATGGATCAAATACCTTCTGCCTACTTCTCAAAGAATAGGAGTGCTTACAATAGAAACGCAAAGAGGTCAAGCAGCCATAGATTGTTCTGGGAGTCAGAAGGTGGATTGTGCACGCTGTACTGGAGACTGACATCTAACACTGATATCCTGACTTGATATCTTTACGGCTTAGAGCTCTCATCCACAAAAACTTATCTTTCCCCACAATGCTCTTATAAAATTACTAAAAGAATATCACTGCAAAATACTTGATGTGTTTTCTAACATAATTACTCGTTTCCCTTCCTATTTTAGATTTCTTAAGTGATAAGTTTAAAAGGTAAATGAGAAAGTGGAAGGTAAATCTTAAAGTACAACAAATATACTAAGATGGGTTGATTTCTTAACATATCAATAGCTCTTAATGCATCTATAAAACAAATGCTAGTACCCCAATTGAAAACTGTATACAGGACATATGATTCAGTGAAGAAATAAAAATGGCCTATAACCACATAAAATTAAATTTAGCCACACTAGTAATAAAAGTACTAATGAAAACTGTAAGTTTTATTCATGTCTAGCAGATGAACAGAGATAACATGACAATATAAATGGTGCTACTGAAGGTGAAAAAGTATTGTTGGTGAGAGTCTAAATTGGTACAAGCTTTCTAGAAATTAACAGTGTATACCACTTCTCTAAACAAAATTACATGTCATTTGATGTGTTCATCCTACTTCTAGAAATCTAAGAAAATAATCAGATATGAAGCCAAAGACATATGTGTAACAACACTCACTGCAAAACAATAAAACTGACAAATTGGAAACAATATAAATCAGATACTCGTTTTAAATATAATACATATATATGATAGAATATTATTAAGTCATTAAAATTGTGTTTTGGCATGCAGTTAATAGAGTATGTTAATATATTTCATATTATATTAATAAAAATAAGTAATATATATGCCTATATATTTTATTAAATGTTAATTTTATTAGTATTAATGTTAACATTAAGTGAAATTTAGAAAGTCACAAAACTACATAAAGTTACCTCATATTTATTAAATCAGAGACTGGTTTAATAAATTTGATACACATATATGATTAAAGATTAAAAGGCCATTAAAATGGTCATTAAATTTACTTTACAGTAATAAATATATGTCAATATATTTTATTTGATATTAATTTTATTAGTATTCCTGTTAATAATAATTGAAAACCAAACTACATATATAGAGGATTATCCCAAATGAAAGAAATTTGTAAATAGAAAAATATAGAAAAGAAACACTGAAATATTAATGTAGGCAATTCCTTGACTGGGGGATTTTTTGTGGGACTTTTTACTTTCCATATACTCTACAGAAATAAATCATTATTTTTATAATTAGGAAAAAATATTTTAACGTTCCTAAAGAGCGACAGTCCACTGGTAAACTGACCCTGATCTATTGTTTTAAAAATTGTTTATGGAGGGTATATGATGATATCACAATAGTGTAAAATATATGCATACCCACATAGATACAGTGTAGCATGAGACTTAGAATCTGCTAGACAGAGATTCAAGTCCTAGCTCTGCAGTCAACCTGCTGCATGACCCTGGGCTGGTCTCTTTACCTGTTTGAGTCCAGGTTTCCTTGTTAAGATGTTTCCTTGATAACATCTTTCTGTTGTGAGGATCAAGCTAGATTAATGCTTAGTACAGCGGCTGATACACATGAAGTACTTTATAGAGGTAACAGCCATATGTGCATAGAAAAAAAGACTAGAAGGAAATATTACAGGGGACGCTATTTATGTCTTTATATTTCTAGTGCTTTTCTAATGTCCTAAAATGTACATGTGCATAACTTTTGAAATGGGAAATAAATGTTACAAAGGAGAGAGAGGATGACCCAAACACACCCTTTACCTCATTAAAAAGCAGTTCCCGTCTCTGTTGCTTCCGGAGGTCCATTTTCTTCACTGCAACTTGTTTCCCTGTGTGTTTCTCGGTGGCGATGCACACGATGCCGGTTGAGCCTTCCCCGATTTTGATAAAGTTGTCCAAGTATTCCCTGGGGTCTCCTGGGCTGACCACCAGCTGCAGGGCTGCCCGAAACTGTTCATGGGACACCCTGGAGGGCTGCTGGTCAGAGGAGGAGCCCCAGCTGGGCGGCGGGTAGGTGCTGGATGAGAGGCTGAGGGAGCTCAGGTAGGAAGCCGTGGAGATGTACTGCGAACTGCTCTGCAGGGAAGGGTGGTGGTACAAGGTGGCTTTGTGGTACACAGCTGGGTACTGGTGGCTGCTTGAGGAATAGCCTGCTTTGCTTTGACTTTGAGGTAGTTTGGCAGGGCCCCTGGGGTAGGTGTCAGACCCTGACAGTGGAGGGCTGAGGACCATCTGTGCTCGATCGTAATCCACCTGGGAAGACAGACATGGATAGAGAATATTCACATGCTAGATCTGAATGCCACAGCCGGGTGGTGAGTGAGCTGACTGACAGCTGGCAGAATGAGGATCACCAGGGGGAGATGGGAGGATCTGGCTGGGGCACCAACAGAACCGGCCACATCTAGGGAAGGACCTTCTCTGGTGCACGTGTACCACAGCAGCAGGTTAGTTCTTGTGTCTTATCCAAGGTGTACTTGCTGGTTAAGCCCTATTTTCTTGTTCAGGAATGAAAAATCTCGTCCCTCATTAAAGGACATTAGTTTTCAGCTAGCATTTTGGGGAGACATTTCAGTGGTAGGAGGCCTTTTCCCATGCTTCTGAACTCACATACTAGAGGGTGGTATGGACGTGTACATATAACATACATATAACACAGCAGATGTAGGTACAGGAGTGTGATCCTATGGGGTGTTCTATGAACATACGTATAACACAGTGTGAACTCCCTGTGCTAAGTGGTGTGAACCACACGGTGAACATGTACAATATTCTCACCAAATAAGAACAAATATAATTGAGAGCGACCAGACTTTGCAGGGGATGTGTGAAATGAAAATGAGGCTAGACCCCAAAGAGACCCCAGAAAAGAATATCCACTCTGACTTGGATAAGTGGGATGAGGGGATTTAGTGGAGGAGAATGGGCGAGCCAGCAAGGCAATCACTGGTATATGATACTATGTGCAGGTCCAGCCGTCACTTCCTGGAAAGAATCAGGAAGGAGCTCTGGCCACTCCTGGAATGGCATGCTCCTTGCCCAGGGCAGAAAATGCCAATCCATCAATGCACTCTGTTTTGGAAGATCCTGATGACAACACAGTGCTGGATACATAGAAGGTTCTCAGAAAAGATTTGTTGATTGTACTTCCAAGATTGCTCAGTGACCTGTGCCTCCTGACATTCATATTCCTGTGTAGTCCCCTTCTACACTGCATCGGGGTCAATCTGAGTGATCAAAGAATAAGGCAGAGATGATGGCAAGCTCCTTTGGTCACTTACTCAGATCATTTATTTTGGCTTTCACCAGCCAGAATCCTTTGGAAGGGCTGGGTGCGATGGCTCATGCCAATAATCCCAGAGCTTTGGGAGGCTAAAGCTGAAGGATCACTTGAGCCCAGTAGTTCAAGGCCGCAGTGAGCTATGATTGCATCACTGCACCCCAGCCTGGGTGACAAGTGAAACCCTGTCTCACAAATAGTAATGATAATAAAATGGAGAGGTCCACATAGCAAGAAACTGAGGGCTCCTGCTAAGAGCTAGCTAGAAATTAAAGCCTTCTGCCAAACAGCCATATGAGTCATTCTGGAGGTGGATCCTTCAAGCCCAGGTGATCTTTCAGAGGACTGTATCCCTCGTTGACATCTTGACTGCAACCTCATGCAACCAAGATCTTCATGATCTGCCCCCTAGCAGCTTCTCAATCCATCTTCCTTAGCTGACCCTCTCCACTATACCTTAGCCTCTCTGCTGTTCCTTAAACACTAAGCCTGGATCTGCCTCAGAATCCTGCATGTGCCACTCCCTCTGCTCAAACCACCCCTCCTAGGAGAAGGATCTTGCTTTTATCCTCATTCAGTTGCAGTCAAGATGTCAGATGCAGTCAGGGTGAGATCCCAAGACAGAACCAATCAGCTAAGCCCTCTCAATTTGTGACCTACAGAAACTGTGAAATAGTAAATATTTGTTATTTAAGTTTTGGGGTTAATTAGTTGAACAGCACTATTTTATTGCTTCACGAGGCAGTTTGTTTTAAGCCATAAAGTTTTGGAATAATTTGTTATGCAGCAATATTGATAGCTAGTACATGGGGGAAAATTAAGAGTTCTGTCAGCCATGTTAAGTTTGAGAGAGTCATTGGACATCCTTGTGGAAGTGTCACTTAGGAGACTTTGACATGCTCCAAGTCCAGGGAAGAGTTAAGGCTAAAACATGAATCTGCGAGTCATCAGTGCTTAGTTCATATTAAAAGCCATGATGCTGAATGTGTAAGAAATGGTCTGAGGACCCCAATGTCTAGATACTAGAAAGAGCAGAGGGATCTTGCAAAAAGGAGCAGAGAAGGAGTGACCAGTGCTGTAGGAAGGAAACTAAGGAAGCAAGGTGTCTTGGAGCCAAGGGAGGAAACTATTTCAAGGAGGAAGGACTAATGAACCCTGTCAAATGCCACTGAGAAGTGGGATGGGACATGTTACTCATTGGATCTGGTGACATGGTAGAGGCAAGCAGGTGTTTCAAGCTCCTGCCCATCGCATTGCATGAGAAGATGCTTATTCTATCACATCGTGGAGCAAGAGCTGTACATAGTGGCCTTTTAAAATTGCTACCATAGCACCATGCACAGTTCTCCTGCACTGTCCATTGGTTCTACAATGACACTGCCTGGCCTGCTGAACATTCAGCAATGCAGCCCTTCCAGCCTCAAAAACACCACACTCTGCTAAGTGAATTCACCACTCAGATAGCCTTGGCACCAACCAGCAGGAACCAGGGCAGCTGCTAAGCTGCCCTCCTGCCCTGGTTGCAGAGAGAACACATGCTTTCAAGGGGCACAGGAATGAATTCTGACTCTGATAATTTTAGTCAAATCAGCCTCTCTGAGTCTTAGTTTCCTTTTCCGTAAAATGGAGTAATAATAATACTTCCTTAGGTCACCGTGAACTCTAAAGGACAAAACACATGAAAGTATTCAAACAATGACTGGCCAAGAAGTTCTACTTGATGTTATTGTTATATAAAGTACGTAGCACAGTAATGAGAATGCAAAATAAAATAAATAATAACTGTAATATTCTCAAACTATCCAGCATTTATTGAAGACATACAATGTACCTGTGGTACATACATATATATATTCCTATACATTAATCCTCAAAGCAATAAGACAAGGTGTCTTTAGTTGTAATGTAATTAACAATGTATAGTTAAAATATTTAAAAACAAGCTGATTATTTTCAAAGCCTCTGTATTTGTGCTACACAAAGAAAACGTGTGTGTGTGCTTGTGCATGTGTGTATGATGGAAAGGGGAACACTAAGTGTAAGTTAAACAACTGGATTCTTCTTTTAATAAGCTCCAGGTTAATCAAATCTAGGCTAGTCAGCAAGGCCAGGTTGTGAAGAGAGATAGGGTCTTTGGCTTTTATTTCTGAAAGTGTGTCCTGGGAGCCATCACATGCCATTATCACCTGTGTCTTCCTTGGTGTACTTGCTCCTATACTTTCAATGAAATTGAATTCATTCCCCATAGCACGTATAACTGATCTCTGAAGATACATTAAAAATGGGAAAGCTGCATTCTGCAGGAATCACAAACACCGCTTTGCACTAATTTAGGCCACTTTTCTTCCTTATCACCTGTCAGCAGCATTATCAGAGTCCCCCCTTAACAGCTGGCATGCGGCATAAAGAAGCCTGCCCGCACCAAGGGGAAAAATTCCAGGCAAAGATGGACTGCAGAGCTCTGCTGGGAGCTAACTATCTTCAAAATTAGGCTGCGAGACAAAAAGGTGCTGTTGTCTTTCATGGCTGCTGGTAAGAGGTGCAGACTTTTAAAAAAGCAGGGGTTGAGGAACAGCCAGTATCATAAGAGACAATTTTTTGAACCAAACCCAAGGCACCACCCATCAAAGGAGAATGAATTGTTCCTTTCAAGTGAGGGAACATGTGGTCTTTCCTTAGAGGACAAATCACTGATTTCGTGAAGGAGAAATGCATGGGTGATCTCATCTGGGGCCACCAAGTCGCTGAACCCCCAAGGAATCCAGGGAAAACAGCTCCACACTTCCAAGGGGATGACATAACCTAGTTCTCTTGCCCAGGTCAGTCCTTCACTCCCAGTGGGAGGGCATCCAGCACGCTGGCCCACAGGCCTGCTCCCTTGCCTACCTTGGCATTTCCAACATTCATTGTCACCTCCCTGATCTGTATAATCAAGGTAGGGCTGGGCACTCTTTTTTTTTTTTTTTTTNTTTTTTTGAGGTGGAGTCTCGCTCTGTAGCCTAGACTGAAGTGTAATGGCGCAATTTTGGCTCACTGCAACCTCCACCTTTCATGTTCAAGTGATTCTCCTGCTCCAGCCTCCCAAGTAGCTGGGATTACAGGCTTCTGTCACCACACCCAGCTAATTTTTGTATTTTTAGTTGGGACGGGGTTTCACCATGTTGGGCAGGCTGGTCTTGAACTCCTAACCTTGTGATCCACCTGCCTCGGCCTCCCAAAGTGCTGGGACTGCAGGCGTGAGCCACTGCGCCTGGCTGATGTGGCACTTTCCTTAGTGCTTCTGGTCTGCGCTGATGCACCAGCCTTGGGAGAGGTGGCCATGTGCACAGCAGTGATTGCAGAGTTTGTATCACCTCTTCAGCTGTCTCACTCTGCCAGACCAACAAAAATTGAGACTGAAGTCGCCAGTCCTGAAGAAGCAGGCTTGCCCCCAGTGGAAACACTCCTTTGTCTTCAGTGGCGTAACTCCAGCTCAGCTGAGGCAGTCGAGCTTGGAGTTAACCGTTTGGGACCAGGCTCTCCTTGGAATGAACGACCGCTTGCTTGGGGGAACCACACTTGGTTCAAGTAAGTCTGAGCTATTGGGCCCAAATGTTGTTTATCCTTTGTGATTATCCTAATGGGTACCATGAAAACCAGGGCAGTGACTTAACTGGTTTTGAAATTGCCTAACCTGCCTTAAATGGAAATTCCTGTCTAGTTTTTACTCTACAGCTGAGCCATAATGCAGCCAAGTATTTTGACAATTTAAATCAGATTTAGATCTGCTAAAGCAACAAAAATTATAGGCCTCCAAATGGGCTAGGTACAGTATTTGCTTTTGTTTCTGGCGTCAATCATAAAAGGATTATTTTCTTAAAGGAAAATAGCTTCCTAACTCAAACAAATGGCAATTCAGAAAGTACTTCGTCAAGAGGTCAAAACAGCAATGCTGTCCAGAGCCGCTCGGCAGGGCGCCGCTGGCCTGCAGGGT